AATATTTAATTTTAAGGTTTTAGAAATTTGGGGTGTTACAACCCCCCCCCCCCCCCCGCCCCCCATTCCTGAAGGCGGTCCCCGCAAAGCTACAAGCAGTTAAGCAGCTCATCAGATCTACCAACGCCCCATGCCTCCTCTACTACCCCGCGACAACCTTCATCTAATAACCAGGACATCTCCTCACTGGATCATTGATCCTAAGGAAAAGAGCATAATGGTCAGACGTACGTGTAAGCAAGTTCATCACCCTGGGTCCCTCCACTAACCCCCGCCAGTCTTTACATGCTATGACTCTATCCAACTTCTCCTCCACCCAAGCCTCCATTCCACCACCTCTCTCCTAAGTGTAAGAGTAGCCCTCCATAGGTAACTGAAGCAGTCCATAATCATCCAACTCCTCCCCAAAGTAGCAAATAAGGTTATCAAGATGCGGTATCTGACCCCATTTCTCAGACTGGTATAGAAGTTCATTAAATTCCCCTTGCACCACCCAAGAAGGGGTGACCGAGAGGTAAGGGACCGTAATAAGTCCCACGATTCCTTCCTCTTACTGCGTTCCAGATACCCATAAAAACATGTCATCCTCCATGGCGAGAGACCCGTAATAGTTACTTCTATGTCAACATGATTTTTCGAATAGCTAATAAGTCTTGCTATATTATTCCATCTCCACAACAGTGCCAAACCACCACTCAAACCAATACTATCCATGTAAAATAATCCTTCAAAACCAAGCTTGACAAGTAGGCGCTTAGAATTCCCCCGCCACACCTTGGTTTCCATTAAGAAAATGAAATCAAGCTTCTTATTGGACACCCATGTCCAACACTTCGCGAACTGTGCGTGGATTGCCCAAGCCATGACAGTTCCAACTAAGGGTACTCATTGGGAAGGGTGAGCCTGGGAACCAAAACCCTCCTGTTGCAAGGTTTTTAAGCTATCTGCCATCGCTTCCCCCATTACCCCTACGACGCTTCGACAAAGCCACCACCCCCACGTCCGAACCAGACGCACGCTGCCTAAGTAATGCCCCACCATCCTCACCGCCATTTTGCCTAGTCGTTCCACCATCCCCCACCCCATCCACATTGCCAGACTGCCCAGCGGCATTGCTTCCCCGCACTGGACCTATTGACGGTACTAACCAGCTTTCGCCAATAGGTCTTAGTCCCCTAGCTTATCCGGCGTGCAACCAAGAACAAAAGGAATATAGTTCGGGCGGCAACTCGTCGAAAAATTTGTCCGAGTGGCCGAGCATCCTGTAGAAAAAATAGAACATATGCAGGCGCTCGTACTTAAAATAAACCCAACCCCAGGACTTGTTGCGTCTGATGAGCTTCATCCTCCTCTTTAAAAGCCTAGTAACCTGGATGGAAACACAGATACGATAGAAAGTTTTCCATGGTGTGTTCTTTGGCCCTAACATTATCTCCTGGAAGTCTGTGAAACAACCATCAGTTTTCCGATCCTCCACTGAATCCGAGTTTCGTGCGCTTGTTAATTCTGCTGCTGAAGTTATGTGGGTTCAGAGTCTGTTACGTGAGCTTGGGATTCGTCTTCGTTCTACACCGCTGCTTGTCACCGACAACTTGAGTGCTTCGTATGTCTACAAAAACCCGGTCTTTCACTCGCGTATGAAGCACCTAGCACTTGGCTACTTCTTCGTCCGTGAGCATATTACTTCTGGCGCTTTGCGTGTTGGTTATGTTCGTTCGGTTGAGCAGATTGCGGACCTCTTGACTAAACCTCTTAGTTATCAATTGTTTGACGTGTTTCAGTCCAAGCTTGGGCTCACTGATTGCACCTCAATCTTGCAGGGGCGTGTTAAGAATTAGTCTTATTAGTGTTTATTTTATTTTATTTGTATTTGTTAGATTTTTTTTTTGCCTAGTCTTGGGGAACAAGTGTATCTGCTCCTCCTTTTGTGGCCTTGTACGCTATTTAAAGCGATGTGTAAACATTGAATAAACACTAAACTTCAAATTCTCACATATCCTTGGTGGTCGGCCTCAAGTGCCTGCAGCGGGGACCATGCGGTGATCTTTAGAAGGCCAAGCCCTCAGATTTGGGTCTTGTAGTTGGTTAGCTAAGTGTTGGGGGAAGAAGATTTCTGTACGTAGTAGTCGATAGAACGACGGAATCATGTGATTTTTACAACTTATAAGTTCGTTTTTTTGACATTTTACTTCTCTCGTGTAATTTAGGGACTATTTTCTAGAAGTGGCTTTGAAACTATCTTTCTCATTAAATAATTTTAAAATAGTGACAACACTTCTCTAAATAGTCATATTTTTTTTTACCAATAACCATTATTATTTATTGGAAATACAGATAGTCAATTTTCTTCACAAAACTAAAATTTATTTAATACAAATATTTACATTAAATGGACAGGAAATAAACATCATAAAAAGACACATCTAGTGATATAAATTAGAATATTATATCAAACGAACAAATAAAATTTTTAAAATATGGAATAAAAATTGAATAAAATCTCTTTTTTTTTTGGAAAATTATATGGTGCTTCATTAAAAATAGGCCGAAATAATGTCAGGTGGGAGTAAATCCCAATACATAGTAGCAGACTGCTGATAAGCCGAAGTAGCTAAAGCATGAGCTAAATAATTGTCTAATCTAGGAATAAAGTGAAACGAACAAAACTGAAACAAAGATGCAATACGTCTGCAGCTGTCAATGGCATAGCCTAGATACGTGCGCAACACAACGGTTGGTGTAGTAAGATAGCGATGTAGTGTCAAGCAATCTGTATATATCTCAACATTCTGTTCTCCCCGATCCTTCAATCATGATAGATGATGAGGTCATGACTACAACAATTTAAAAGATCATTATGTTGGTCCAAATATTATGAAGAAGAAGGTCCTAGAAGGCTCATTGAAAATAGTCATCATTGAAATGAAGTCATGTAGTTATTTAAGTTATTTAAAATGCATTTATGTTAAATTTAATATTAGGAGACTCTTAACTCTTTGTTTTCCCTTTGAAAGTTATGTATTAGCCTATATAAAGGCTAAACACAATCAGAATTTTAGATATAGATGAATGAAGTTGAATGAAAGAAATGCTAAGGCATTTTGTTTTCTCTCATGTGATTTGGGAGATGCTCTTGTAGGCTTATCAAGATAATACCAATCTTGTGGTGCCATCCATTCCTTATCACCTAAGACCAAGGTGTGGCGGAAATATCCTTATACAAAAACACAAAAATAATCCCAAATCCAGCCCCTACATCAACCAATTCCATCTCCAACACCCATAAACCGTAATTGTTGTTCCTGCTGTTTAGGTGAGGAAAAGATCGGGCAATCAAAGGACTCTTTGGTGAATCGACTCTCGAGTTCACCCTCAAAGATCCACATCAGTTTGGTATAAGAGCTTTTGGTTCATTCCTCACACAAAAAAGGTTAACACTCTACCAATCAATTCTTGTTTCATATGTTTCTGCAGAAAATTTTTTAGCATGTGTCTTCAGAAAGAAAAATTCCAAAAAAAAATACTTCCACATATCCAATTGTGTTGAAATTTTTTCTGGAAGTACCCAACCTATCACTCTATTTCTTCATGAAATTTTTGTGCAAAAATAATATTCCTAGAAACACAGAAAAATCGCTGACTTCAACACAACCGTAAGATTCTGCCCAGAAATTTTCTTCATGCCCTGTCTAGAAGAAAATTTTGGAAAAAATACTTCCACATATATTTTTGCCCTGAAAATTTTTATGGTTGAATACAACCCATATTTCTTGCTAACCATAAAAAATTTGGGTCAAAATATCATCCATAACATTCCAGAAAATTCATCAAAGTCACTCTTAAAATCTGTCCAGATTTGTGTTGCCATCCCTTGTGTTTTCTAGTTATTGTTCATTGTTTCACATCATCCATGGAGTCTTTTGAGTTAAATACACTTCAACAAGGATCACTTAGTGTGGAAGAATTCTATAATAAATTAAGAGATTTGATGATCCGTGATGGGGTGATTGAACCAGATGTTATTACCAAGAACAGATTCGTGTATGGTGTTAGAAAAGAAATTGCACGGTTGCTTCCTCATTGGTGCAAGTGCATGTTTACTTTACTATACCATGCCAAACAAATTGAAGAGAAATTGCAGCAAAAAGAGGTCGAGAATTCGATACCTTTTTTCTTGTCATATGAGGAGGGCTCAAAAGAAATGAATGAGAATGTAAACATGCGTGAACAAAAATGTGAAAACAAAGATGAGGAATATTTGAGTGAAAAAGAAGGAGAGATTGAGAAAAAAACTGAAGATGAGGAAGAAGAATTGTCTTATAAACTTTGTGAGAAAAAGAATGAGGGAGAAGAATTTGAGAACTCCAAAACCTTTGATTTAAGTTCTTTGCAGGTTAATGGATGTGATTCTAGGGTTGAAAATCATTTGGAAGGAATGGTATTGTTGTGCCATGATCTACAAAGCGCGAGATCACTCACTCTCCTTGGTGAAGGTATTAAAGTCATTTGGTCGGATAATTACACATTTCCATTTGATCGAGGAAAGTGTGATTCGAGGACGAATCATCTCAAAGAGTGAGGGAATGATGAGGTCATGACTACAACAATTTAAAAGATCATTATGTTGGTCCAAATATTATGAAGAAGGTCCTAGAAGGCTCATTGAAAATAGTCATCATTGAAATGAAGTCATGTAGTTATTTAAGTTATTTAAAATGCATTTATGTTAAATTTAATATTAGGAGACTCTTAACTCTTTGTTTTCCCTTTGAAAGTTATGTATTAGCCTATATAAAGGCTAAACACAATCAGAATTTTAGATATAGATGAATGAAGTTGAATGAAAGAAATGCTAAGGCATTTTGTTTTCTCTCATGTGATTTGGGAGATGTTCTTGTAGGCTTATCAAGATAATACCAATCTTGTGGTGCCATCCATTCCTTATCACCTAAGACCAAGGTGTGGCGGAAATATCCTTATACAAAAACACAAAAATAATCTCAAATCCAGCCCCTACATCAACCAATTCCATCTCCAACACCCATAAACCGTAATTGTTGTTCCTGCTATTTAGGTGAGGAAAAGATCGGGCAATCAAAGGACTCTTTGGTGAATCGACTCTCGAGTTCACCCTCAAAGATCCACATCAATAGAGCTTCTTTACATGCCAGCGCCTCAGCCATAAGTGGTGAGGAGCAATTCCGGAGTGGTGCGGTGTACGCCGAGACATAACCCCCATCCGTGTCGAGTAAGACTGCCCCAACCGCAGCTTGGCCTGTTTCTTGCATAAAACCCCCATCCACTCGACAAACTCTCCTCGGTGGTCCATGTGGCGGTTCGGTAGCGTGCGTCTCGGTGCCATGCAGCTCGGCCTCCTCCTGCAGCAAAGCCGGCTCGGTTGGCAGCGGAGCAGCTCGGGCCGTGAGCAGTGGGTGTGCCCGTGTCCACGCTAGCTTGGCGGCAGCGGCGGCTTTGAGCACAGTCTCCGGGCGCGGTAATGTCACCTCCCAAACCGCCCTGTTCCTTGCTCTCCAAATATTGTAAAGAATTGCTGCTGCACATAACATCCGATCAGAGTCTAGAACATTTAGAAGTTCACCAAACCAAACATGAAAAACATTTGTGACTATATTGGGGATTGTAAGGTTGGATTTGTCCCAAATGTTTTTTGCAAGTTCACACAACACTAAGGCATGCATTGTGTCTTCCTGAAATATTCCACACATGGCACATCGCGGTTCCACATCCACCCTCTTTATAAGCAAATTTGTAATGGTAGGCAATATATCACAAATAGCTCTCCAAAGAAATATTCTCCATTTTGGTGGGATTTTGAGCTTCCATAAGGGTAGCCATTTTGTAAATGTCCCATTATTTTCTTGATAGTTCCCGACTATTAGCCTGTATCCACTTTTAACATAATACACACCTCTTGGGTCTCCATGCCAGTACCAGGTATCATCATAATCCGGGGAGATGGGTATCTTCATAATATTCGCCACTTCACTAGGCTGAAATAAATCTGTTAAAATTGAGGGATCCCAACTACCAGTTTGTTGATCAATTAATCCTGCCACTCTGGCTCCCTGCAACTGTACTGGCATTTCTGTTTGTATCATTGGGTCATGATCATCCTGTAACCAGGGGTGGGTCCATATATGAGTGTAGACTCCCCGTTACCAATTCTACGCCTTACCCCACCACAAGCTATACTCTTTGCTGCCATGATGCTCCGCCAGCAGAAGCTGGGATTATTTCCCACTTGTGCATCAAAGAAAGATCCCTTCGGGAAATAACAGGCCTTATACACACGTGCCACTAGAGATTCAGGTTTAGTCAACATTCGCCATGCCTGTTTTCCAGCATTGCTAAATTAAACGCACCCAGATCTTTAAATCTCAAACCTCCATACTTCTTGGGGATACATAACTTGTCCCATGCCCTCCAATGTATTCGTCTGTCAGTTCCCGAGTCCCACCAATACGGATTCATAGTCCTTTCTACTGCCGTACACACTAATATAGGTAGCAAGAAAACACTCATTGAAAACGTAGGCATAGATTGTGCCACAGTTTTCAATAGAATCTCCTTACCCGCCTGCGACAACAGTTTTTTATTCCATGAACCAATCCTTTGTCGGATTTTATCCTCAACATACGCAAAAACTGCTTTCTTGTTTCTTCCAACAAAAGAGGAGAGTCCCAAATACTTGCCAAAATTCGGAGCCTGCGTCACTCCCAAAATCTCAGCCACATTTTCCCTGTCAACATTACTTGTATTTCTACTATAGCATATGCTTGACTTATGATAGTTAACCGCCTGCCCAGACAGATCCTCGTACACAGATAGGCACCTTTTAATTTCATTTGCTTCCTCCACATTGACCTTAAAGAACAACAGACTATCATCCGATAGAACGACGGAGTCATGTGATTTTTACAACTTATAAGTTCGTTTTTTTACATTTTACTTCTCTCGTGTAATTTAGGGACTATTTTCTAGAAGTGACTTTGAAACTATCTTTCTCATTAAATAATTTTAAAATAGTGACAACACTTCTCTAAATAGTCATATTTTTTTTTACCAATAACCATTATTATTTATTGGAAATACAGATAGTCAATTTTCTTCACAAAACTAAAATTTATTTAATACAAATATTTACATTAAATGGACAGGAAATAAACATCATAAAAGACACATGTAGTGATATAAATTAAAATATTATATCAAACGAACAAATAAAATTTTTAAAATATGGAATAAAAATTGAATAAAATCTCTAATATCTACAAAGTTAAAATTTTCAATATATAAAATTGAAAATTTTAACATCTAAAATACAATTAATAAAATTTATATTTATCCTATACTACTACTGAACGATGTTAAAATTATTAAAAGGTCAATTTTCATGGCATTCTTCCAATGAATGCATGCAATTTTCCTTCATTCCAACAGCACTGATTGTTACTTGGGTCCTCTACCATTTCTCTATTGATTTATCTCCAAAAGGGCCAATTTACGCTTATAAATCAAGAATAAACATTCGGTTGAAAAATTAACTCTTAAGCTGGATCAAGTTTTAGATTCTTGTAAGTGAGATATTTAATTTGATAAATTATAAACGAGATAAATTCCGTCTTATAATCCTTATGAACCTAGGTAGGTCGCTGTCAAATTTAGAACTAGCCTGACAAACTTGATTGTGGTTGTCCCACGTTTAAATAGCATGACAGTGTCAAATATCGGTGCGCATAAGGGATCTATCTACTTTGGACATAATCCCTAGCATAAGGGATCTATCTACTTTGGACATAATCCCTACATTATGACCGCCGAAATTTAAACATTGGTCTTCTCCCAAATACTGTCTACTGAACCATTAACTAAGCTTGTGCGGGCAGTTTTTAGGTTTTCTACTCTAGGTTGATGCTCTACAAATGACATGAAATGAATGACAGGATATTTGCGCACACAAATTTTGAAAGTTTAAAGAAAATTAATCCACAAGAAAAATAAGAAGAAATCAAAGGCATGTCACATTATATGAAAAGTGAAAGTTTCAAAACACAATCTGAGGCAGCCTATGAAGCTTCCCACACACTCAAACGCATGGAACTATTTGAACCAAGAAGAAATCAACAACACCCAAACATCATAACTCTCTAAGTATCACACTATCACCCAAGAAAACTAAAGAAAGATCCCTTAAATGCTCTGATTGTAACAATTAACTTCAAGAATTCAAAGTGGGCTGATGAGTTCTAGCACTGCTGCATTAAATATACCTGTTGCAGTAAATTGAAATTACAGAACAGAAGGCAATTAGTAACAACAGATTTCCCAGCTGCCATGCTCCAGTTGGAAAAAATAATGCAATATAAACATGATTAAGTAATAAAAGGAGAAGCAATATACTTAGACTAACCTGGCAAAGCTAGCTTTGTTGAGAAGGATCCAGTGGAGGGTAGATAGTGAGCTTGAATCTGCGGGTGCATTTTTCAGTTGGGTCCTGTTTCTGCTGTTTCCGCTTGAGTATGTTCTGTGCAGACTTGATTGCCTTCTTGGTGTGGTTCAAGTCTATCTCTTGAAGATTGCGTATATCAGCCAGGACATGTGGGATCTCCTCGAGCTTCTCACAGTGCCTAAGAACAAGGCTCTTGAGTCCTGGGAAGTGTTTATTTGAAGCTTTCCAGTATCTTAAGTCAGTCCTCTCAATATGCAGGACCTGAAGACAAAGAAACCCGCCAATGATTGGCTCCCAACACTCTCCTACAGCAGCATGCTCAAGCAACTTGAGGATTTCAAGTTTTTCAAGTGTTCCCAATACCGCCAATTCGCTCCAATGGAGAGAGGTCTTTGACAGGGTCAGCTTTGTTAGGTTCACTGGAAATTCATACTTCTGAGGAAGGTGTTGTAGTTCCTCCCCGTCATTCAACAGCTTTAGATTTTCCAACAACTTAAACTCTCTGAGGTTTTTGAACAAACTAGATCCACTTTTTTTGTCTGTCTCCAATAGTTTAGCCAAAGTCCCCCGAACGCCCAATTTCTTGAGATTGGGGGCCTTGGCAAGTGCAGCAGCCGTGCAGCTTAAAGGCGAAACCTTGGAAAGGGTTTGCAAGTTTTGATTTGGAAAGGGATCATCCTTAGTCTTGGGAGAAGAAGGTGAAGGAAGTTCGGCAGAAGAGTTGGTTTGAAAATGCCTTAACCTTGACATGCTCCATATGTCGCCTTTAATTTTAAGAGTATTCTCTGTTGTCCTAACTATAAGAGTCTGCAAATTTTGCAAGTTCCCAATCTCGGTAGGGAGGACTTTGAGTGTAGTTGAGATAGCAATGTACCTAAGATGAAATAACCGAGAAAAGTCTCTATGGCAACGCGTGAAAATGACAGATTCATCTGGTGCAAAGTGCAACACCCTTAGCAATGGAAAGGCCTTGCGGAGTGCTTGAATGATTTCTGGAGGCATCTCAACTCTATTCGAGGCAAAACATAATAAGGACCGGACATGTTCTGGATCTCGCTTTGAAGAAATGAACTCCTTAAAAGGGCAGTGAACACTTAGTCGGCGACAAACATCCTGTTGATTCCTGACATTAATTTCATTGATTTCGTTGAATAGGCCTTCGCCCTTAGCTTCCTTCTTGCAGAACTGGAGCAACATGTCATGAACGCGACAAGTTTTAATTTGACCATTCGACTTTCTCTGTGTTGTCATTACTAGATTCCTACTAACCAAACTACACAACTTTTCACACGCTATGACTTCCATGGTTAATACTCCTTCTTCCTCAATGAACCCCTCCGCAATCCATAGCTGCATCAGTTTTGCAGCGGGGATATGATTGCCATTGGGAAAGGCTCCCAAATAGAGGAAGCAACACTTCAAGTCATCAGGCAAATGGTCATAGCTCAACTGTATTAACGTCTCATAGCTGTCTAGATTTATTCTAAGGAAATCGCTGAAACTGTTAGCCACATTGCGCCATTCTAACCGAGTTTTTGATTTGCCTAACAGAATACCAGCGATTATCACTACTGCTAGTGGTAGTCCATCGCATTTCCTCGCTATCTCTTCACCATACTCTTTCAAGTCATCGGGGCATCTTTCCTCACGAAAAACCTTCTTCTCGAGTAGCTCCCAGCTTTCTTTATGCTCTAGAAACTTCAACCGGTGAGGCTCTCCCAGGGAATTCACAATCGTCGCCACTTTCTCCTCCCGAGTGGTGACTAAGACTCTGCTACCTTTGCTCTTTGGAAAAGCATCCTGGATATCATTGAATGCATCTTCACACCAAACATCATCTAGTACAAAGAAATACTTGACAGGCCCCAGAACTTGTTTAATCTTGCTAGCTAATTCTTCTTCACTCACATTGGTATCATAATCATAGGGCTGTTGTAGTTTCTTCAGAATTTGTAGATAAAGATCCCTTTTCTTATAGGACTGAGAAACATAAATCCAGACACGATACATGAAATGATATTCAATTTCTTCAGATTTGAATACCTTGTTGGCCAGTGTGGTTTTGCCCAAACCCGGCATACCAAACACTGAAATAACCCCATAATTTGGGCCTTCCCTAAGGCGATTGATAATCCTTTTTGCTTCTTCATTAAATCCCACCACATACTCTTCTTCCACTCTGGGTACCTTTTTAAGGTCAATAAATCATCTGAGTTAGCATTTGCATTGATCACTTCAGTAAGGAAAGGAAACAAGGTAAAACATGGCCTCATTTCTCATCCATAAATATTAGCGAAAATGCATAATTTCTCATTTCAATGACCTAATTTAGCCTAAGAATAAACCTACCAGAATCATACTCCTATATGAATTAAATTGAGTTAATACACACTGTAGTGGTTTTTCTTGATTTATTCCTAAATGAACTTTTGTGATTAATTAGGTCAACTTCTACAGTTTTACCCAATTGGGTCATCAGCTGTTAGAATTAAGGATTAAATAGAGAAAATTTACTAAATTAGATAAAACTACTATTATCAAAGACTAACTTGGATAAAACTAGTGTAATCAATAACTAAATTAGATATTAATAGAGGTAAAATTACTAAGTTATATTTAACATATGATTCAATTGAGTAAACTACCAAAATCAAGAATCTAATTAAGTCCAAAAAGTTGTTGCTAAATCGAGAAAACCACTAATAAACTCCAATTAAATTCATGAGGTATATAAAGGCACTTAATTGAAATTATAACAAAAATAGTTTACCTTCTGCGGCAGGGAGAATGTATGGTCTCGGGGCAAGACTATATTTTCAATGACTTTCTGATACTCCGTCTTCTCCTGAATTACCTTGATTTCCTGGAGAATATCTTTGATCTTTGTCGCAATGTTCTTCTTGGTGGGGATATCGAGGAGACCGTGGACCTTGGCGTCCACCACGTATTGGTCGATGAGGTTTTCCGACCGGTACACGACGTCCATGATGTCCTTCATCAGCTGCTTAACGATGTCGTTTTTGGTCCGGATTTTCCGGTACTCTTTCAGGAATGACTTGAAGCCGTTGACGTAGCGGAGGAGCTTTTTGACGTCGTCTTTTATGTCGGAGATTAGCTGGAAGTTCTTGTACAGTAACTCCGTCAAGTTCTCCACCAGCAAGTTCACTACTGCCTCCATTTTCTCTAATCTTCCTCTGTTTCGTCAGCTTCTCCATCTCTCATTCTCTCCTGTCTGTTCTTTTATGAACTATGATGTCAACGAGTCAAGTCGTCGTGGGCCACTAAAGCAAAGTCTTTCTTTATTTTTATTTTTATTTTTTTGTTTTTAGCAGAGACCAATCGTAATGATTAAGCATTAAAATGACAAATTGGTATATCATTTATTCCTATTTTATTAGTGCATCCCCAATAATTGGCAATTTATATCCTACACCACGGCACGCGTTGCACTATGCGCCCAGATGCAAAACGACGTCGTTTTAATTATTTTTTTTTTTGAAATTTCCCGCACCAGTGAATGGCAGTAGTTTTTTCTTAAAAAAAAAAACCCCATGTTCAAGAATGCACATAATGTTATACTAGAATACACATAATGTTATACATGAATGTACATAATTATATAACAAAATATACATACTCTTTTTAAAAGATAATACACATAATCTAACATAATACATAATAAACATAAATTTTTAACATAATACACATCAACTCTTAACATAATACACATAAATTTCATGATTCGGATGTACATAATTGTATAAAAAGAATGTACATAATTGTATAAAAAATACACATAACTGTATGAACCAATACACATAACGTTGTGAACAAATACACATAACGTTGTGAACAAATACACATAATCTCAGCAACTTCCTACCGCGCCTCCCAACACTACCCCAAAACGACGTCGTTTTGAGAGGCGCGCGGCGCACAGTGCTATATGCGCCGTGGTGTAAGATATAACGATTGCCAATAATTGTAGGTTTTTAGGCAGGGTCGGTCTAAATATTTTATAGGCCCGGGGCGAAATTTTAAAAAGAACCCCTATATGAAAAACTAAAATTTAAATTTAATAATACTAAAAAAATTGATAATACTAAATAACATGAAATAAGATTAGAAAATTTTTAATAATTTTTTAAACACAAAAACAATCATGACAAAAAATTTCTACGTGTTTAACTTGATGCAAAATCATCTTAATTGAATCAAAGATTAATATTCGCATATCCTTCTCAATACATAAAATAAATTAAAACAAAACAAATTTTCATATAATAAAACTAATAAACTTACAATTTCATTATACATAGGAATCCTAATAAATAGAATTAAAAGACAAAAAAAAATTCCTAATTCTCAACTTTTAAAAGAACAATACGGTATAATTAGAAGTTTAGGATTTCTATACAACATTTAACCTAATTTATTTTAATATATACTAACTAATAATTTATATACATAGGGAAGGGATCAGGTGCATGAGGGGGTTTCCCGTGCGGTTGTGCGGTTGGACTCACATTAAGCATTAAACTAATGCACTTTAAGTACACAACGCACGTGCATTAAGCACACAAACAAAATACCTTCATAACACAAACTCACACACCTTAAGCACAAAACTGAGGCACCTTAAGCACAAAAGCACACGCATCTTAAGTTTCAACAACTACTCACATTAAGCACAAACTCACGCGCACCTTAAGCACAAGACTCACGCACCTTAAGCACAAGACCCACACACTTAAGTACAAAACTCACGCACCTTAAGCACAAAACTCATGCACCTTAAGTTTCAACAACTACTCACATTAAGTACACACTCACGCACCTTATGTACAAAACTCACGCGCATTACTCACCGCACAAGAAACATGCACCCGCACTGGAACTTAATTATATATATATATATATATATATATATATATATATATATATATATATATATATATATATATATAGAGAGAGAGAGAGAGAGAGAGAGAGAATGGATCAGATGCATTTGTGACTTCCCGTGCGGTTGTGCGGTGGATTAATGTGCGTGAGGTTTATACTTAATGTGCGTGAGTGTTGTGCTTAATGTGCCTGAGATTTATACTTAATGTGCGTAATGTTAATATGCGTGAGTTTTGTACTTAATGTGCCTGAGTATTGTGTTTAATGTGCATGAGATTTGTGCTTAATGTGCGTGAGTAGTTCAGAATTACGAGCTCAGAAGGAAGCAGAACAGAAAACTCACGCACATTAACGCCCAAGCTTCTTGTTACTTCTTCCTTCAATTTGGCCATGCATTCTAGATTATCATCTACCTTTAGTGCAGTTGAATGTTTATATAGATGACGCACGCACAGCAAAATTTGCACACCAACTAAGTGTGGATTTCTGTTGTATTATTCCCATAATTCTTAACCACCATAGCCGCCTCGGCATCATCATCATCAGGGAGGGGGCAATGGCTACTGGGGATGGGGAAGAAGCTGACATTCATATTTTCTGCAGCATTTTACACATTCACGCACATTATGTACAAATCTCAGGCACATTAAGCACAACACTCACGCACATTGAGTACAAATCTCATGCACATTAAGTACAAATCTCACGCACATTAATCAACCGCACGGGAACCTTTCAATATATATATATATATATATATATATATATATATATATATATATATATATATATACCATACAATGTTTTACAGGGAGATTTTTTTCTCTCTCCCCCACATAGGTCTTGTTTTCTCTAAAATCACACCAAAAACTTTTATTGGGATGACCTTAAAGCAACCCAATAGCAAGAAATTTTTCCTTAATTTTTTGTGAGCCCTAACATCCACCTCATTATTTAGGCAAAATTATAAAAACAGTTTCGATGAAAATATGACGGTAGCACCGAGTAAATGATTATCACATAAATATATGTATGTGTAAATATTTTTAGAAAATAAAAATACTTAACTTTCTCAAAAGATTGTTTGACAATTTTTTATCCATCCAATCCTGTTAATACTGAGGCTTGAACCCATGACCTTACATTTAGGAGAATCACTTCATATCACTTGACCACAATATTTTTGTACGTATTTTACTATCACTTCATGCAACTTGACCATAATGTCTTTGTGTGTATTCTACTATATACAATTCTGTACAACTAAAACAAGAAATATATATTTTTTAGAAGTTAACGGAAGAAACGAAAAATGACGTCGTTTTGACCTGGGCGCACAATGATGCACGATATAATTTGCTCCTTAGTGACCTTGAAACCCCGAATTATTTGGTTCTGAAGGTAACTGAGATGCTTAAAGACACCTCCTAACCTTTCAAGCCCTTCTTGTCATTAATAATTTTTTTATAGACTAAAATACTACATTTTTTTTCAAGTTACTGACTCTATTATATTGTAGTATACTACATTAGTTATACAAAGATCCAAAATGAATATATATATATATATATATATATATATATATATATATATATATATATATATATATATATATATATAGGGTTGCATTCAAATACAAACCCCCTTAAAATACAAACTTGAGCTCGTGCACACATTAACATACTTACATGCACACAGGACGCACTGCCAACAATTTCTGGGATTAGCTCGTGCATATATTAACATACTTACATGCACACAACGCGTAGGAGGAAAAATCACAACCATCCATCAAAGCTCGTGCATACATTAACATACTTACATGCACACTAGGCACACTGCCAACAATATCTGGGATTAGCTCGTGCACATATTAACATACTTACATGCACACAGTTTGTATTTTAAGGGAGGTTTGTATTTTAAGGGGGGTTTGTATTTGAAAATAATCATATATATATATATATATATATATATATATATATATATATATATATATATATATATATATGGTAGAGTTCCAGTGAGAACATGTGTTTAGGTGAGAACGTGAGAACACATCATGTGTATCCATCTAATATTTTTTAATGGTTTAGATTAGATTAAGTGTGTGCAACGCACGTTAAATGTGTGCAAACGCGATTTAGTGTCTTTGCACATATTTAATACGCGTTCGCACACACTTAATCTAATCTAGACCATTAAAAAATATTAGATGGATGCACATGATGTTTTCTTACATTCTCACCTAAGCACATGTTCTCATATGATCCTAACTATATATATATATATATATATATATATATATATATATATATATATATATATATATATATATATATATATATATATAGGATCTGGTGAGGTTACCTTTGTCAGGCAAGGTGGTGAGGCTTGATCTGGTACGTCTATTTGTTTTTTTGGATGGATGAGATTAGGCTGAATAAGGTTCCACGTGCGTGTGTTTAGTGTGCATGTGGGGGTGTTGATGTCTTTTTGGTGGTGTCTTTATTAGGTTGTAATAATTGATTAGCATATTTTATGGGCTTGTACACTACTAATTATGGTATTTGTGGGATGATTAAATATGTCAACTACGTCATTTCCTTATCAAAACTAATGTTCCATTACCTTTATTATATGAATTCAAATAGTTTTTTCGTTACATGTTTTATATCGCATTTTTAGTCCTTGTTGCACGAGCCATCTAAATGCACATGGTCACTCAAACTCGTGCACATACTACTTTCAAAATAAATCAAGCATTGTTAGATCTGCACGCGAAATGCACACACACGCCGCATGGAAAAAACCTAGCATGCATGTTGTTGCTTTAAGTTTATCAACTTTAGATTGCATAAATAATCTGTACCAATTATTTAGTCAGTCGGTACTAAATGCTTAGACGTCATATGCACATACTCACAAACACAGTTGCTAAGCGTATCATGCACAGGCTACGAATATAACATGCACAAGCTGAAATATTTTGCATGCATGGGAACAACATAACATGCATATAAAGTCCTAACTTGCACATGGGAACACAGTAGCATACACAGGCTGAGAATATAACGCTATTACCATGTGTCTTACATGCCCAGGTTCAGGAATTAACTCGCAAAGACTATCCCTCACACTTGCACGGGTGTCAACCAAACTAGCATATTATAATACAAACGTCTACCATGTTTGTTAACCCAATGTCTTTTTTAGCTAACCACATATCATATCAAAACACAATGTCTGATTGCCCATTCGACTTTTAAAAACTCAAGACATTTCATACTAAACGCA